AAATGCCATCAGCCATTCCCAACAGGTGACTACATGTGTGACTCAGCCTTTGTTGAGTCCCCAAGTTCCATCAACCTTTTGATGAAACTCTTAAAATTATAACACGCTAGAATTGGCTTCCAGCAACTATCTATAAAAATAAAAGCTTAAGTGACTGTCCAACCATTCGACCATTCCACTGGTAGCTATGACACGCACTGTCCACCAGGGGACAGATGCTCAATGCCCAGGCTTGAAAACATGAAACAGACTGATGAATCTCAGAGGGAAGGGGGGATGGGGTGTGTGGGAAGAGATTAACCAAAGATCTTATATGCATATTAGAGGCCTGTTGCACAGATTCGTTCACTGGTAAGGTCCCTCAGCCTGGCCTGCAGGGATTGGGCTGAAACCAGCAGTCAGACATCCCCATGGGGTCCCTAGTGCAGAAATAAATTGACGGACATTCTTTGCAGTCATTTTCTGCCTCTCATCATCAAGACAATTACTGACCTGATTTCCACGTCAGAGTTGGTTGTTCCCTTCTGCACACAGGCGCACCATCACAGTGTGCCGCCATCGGGGCTGGTTCTTCTGCTCAGCATCATGTTTTGTTGCAGTAGTTTGTTATTATTTATTATTGAGTAACGAGTAATATTCAAATCTGCCAATATTCTGAGTTCAATTTACACTTTTTCAAAATATCAAGCATAAGCTGAGATTTTTAAATGTATTCCTTTCTTCCTATGTAACATACACACACACATTTCTTCTAAGGACTGCTTTGGGTGTGTTCTATACATTTCTATACAGGGCTTTTATCACCATTTAATTCAAATTAATTTTAAATTTCCATTGTGATTTCTTATTCAGAGGAGTGTTGGTTAACTTCCAAATATCTGAGGATGTTCTAAGTAATTTATTAGTATCAGTTCCTAAGGTAATTTAATTGTGGTGAGGTAACAAGCTGTCTGGTTTCACCAAGACTTTATCATGTGGAACACGCTCTCTCTTAAAGATGTTCCCCGTGTACAAGGTGAATGTGCTGTTGTGCCCTCACATCCTGCATGGACTTTCATTAGGCTAATTTCGCTGACAGAGTGTTTGAAACTTCTATACCCTTGATATTTTTTCCATTTATTTAGTCAATTCTTGAAAATGTTTAAAGACAACTAAAACTGAGGATTTTTCTCCTTTTGTTTCTGTCAGTTTTTGCTCATTGTGTTTTGAATCTCTAATGTACCTTCCTACACATTTAGTGTTTTATGTCTTCATGATAAATTGACACTTTATAATTTTCTAAAAATGTTTCTTGTTTCTTGCAATATTGCCTACTTTGTATGATATTAATAGAGGAATTTCAGGTTTATTACGCCTACTATTTTCACATAATATCATTTCCCATCATTTTACTTTCAACCTGTCAATTTATTTATTATTAAAAAACTAGAGGCCCGGTGCATGAATTCGTGCATGAGTAGGGTCCGGCCAGCCTTCCCGGATGGGGGCCAATTGGGCTGGGCCAGTGAGGGGGGGGCGATCAGGGGCGGGGCTAGCCAGGGAGGCCACAGGAGGTTGGTCGGCCGGCCCCAACCTCAAATGTGGTAGGGGGGCCGGTTGGGGGTGGGGCCGGCCTAGGGGAAGGGCTGCAGGTGGTTGGGGGGGCCGATCAGGGCCCTAAGCGGGCTGGTTGGCTGCCGCAGTGTACATAATAGTGACCGGTCATTCCGTCATTCTAGTCACTTGGCTTTTATATATATAGATGAGTACCACATAAAAAGCTCACAGACAGGTCTTTTTAAAAAATCTAGACTTTTGCCATTTAACTGGAGTTGCACTCAATTTTTTAATGCAATTATCAATAGGGTAAGTTTAAGTATACTATTGTAAAATTTATTATTTTTTCCTGTTATTTTTCCTTTTTTTTTCTCATTTGCTGCCTTATTTTGTATTAGACCAAGAGTGTTGTTGCTCTCTGTTGTTGTTTTCTAGCATTTCATCTTTGCATATTTATTGCCTTTGTGGCTATACCTTTTATTTTATTTTTATGCATCTTAAACTTATTGTAGTTTACCTCAAATTGACATCATATTGTTTTATATATAATGCTAGGGCCTTTCAATAGTATAATTTTATTTATCCTAAATTTCATCCTTCATGTTTTTTTTGACAAATGTTTACTTCTACATATGTCATAAATACCATAATACATTATTTTTATTTCAACTATGCATTGACTTTTAAAATGTTTAAGAAAGGAAAGAAAACTAGTTTTTCATTTTTACCCACATATTTACCACTTTGAATGCTTTTCATTCCTTTATTTACACTGAAAGTTCTATCTGGCATCAATTTCTTCTGATTGTAGAACTTATTTGGCAATTCTTAATGGCAGGTTATAGGTAATAAACTATCTCAGCTTTTGCTTATAAAAAATACTGCTGTTGTTTTTTTTTAGATTTAAAAGTTATTTTTGCTAAATATAGAATAATACGATGACCGTTTCCTACTTTAACAATTGTCAGTCTTCATTGTTTCTCAGCTCTCATTTGTATTGTTGTTAAATTACTGTGGCCATGCAGCTGGCTTTGGGTATGCAGTAGCTTTAAAGAATCCAACAGGGCCTTGGAATTCACAGGAGAGTGAGGAGATCTTTCCTTGTTTTTCATCTCCACCTACAGCTTCCTGCATTGCTATGTTGTGCTTGTCTTTGATCTTGTCAGAAGGTGAACTTGGTGAGAGTTTAGTCTCAGCTTCTTCTAGACTCTATCTGCCACCGCCTTTAATGTTTCTGAGCTGATTGTAGGCTGCTAGCTCCAGGAGGGTCCTGGGACCATACATTACACACTTTGAGATCTCAAAAGTTTGGGTCTGCTTGGACATGAAACTGTGGAACTATGAAACTGCAAATGATAAGGCCCTGGGTTAGTGGGGCTTTTTGAAACTGTGAAATTTATGATTAAAAGACTGGAAGACAGAGGATTAAGTTGATTGAACAATGTTACATAATCATCCAGGATATTGCCCCCTTTGCTGTGAATTCAGGATCCCCTCACTGGAACACACAATGCATGAGCAGAGGGATCCTACAAAGGACTCCACGCTCACAAAATTAGTCATTTGTCTGGAAACATGCAACCAGGACTTCAACATCAATTTAAAATGCACTCAATCTACTAATTGTATAGAACCCAGAGAGGGCACCCCATCACCCTCAGTGTGAGATCCCATTGAAAGTTCAGTTGGCAAAAGATGCTCCTGACCCAGGGACTTCACATGGCCCAGGGACTAGCACATGTGACTGAGGGAGTCCAGAGGAATGAGAGGCTCTCCTGCTAGATTGTAGCAAAATGTGAAATGTCTTCACTCTATCCAAAGCAATGCAAAACCACAGAACTATCATGCCCCACCCCCCCACCAAAATAAAAAGCCTGTATATATCAAAGAAGTATGATTGCAAGTGAATTTTAAAAAGAACTATACAAGGAAGAGTCCTTCCTAAGTGAGCAAGGGATTGAGGGAATGTTATACCTGTGTCAGTTGCTAAAGTTAGGAGTGAGACATATGGAAGGACCAGCCTGCCAAATAAAGATATTCTTTTTTTTTGATAAAGAGAAATTGGGAAAAACTGAGAAATCTGTGGAGTGTGAGATTTGAATCTTGAGGAATTTCTCTCCACCAACTCATTCTCTTACACAAGGTTTTTGTTGCAGATACAGCTGGAAAATAGGAAGTGGCTTTTTCATAAGCCATTTGTAATTTTACTGATTATATCAATTGTTTAATGTCAGAGTTATTAGCTAGTATGTGTTTTGTGTGCAGCACAAATGACAGATTGTTCAAGGTGTCCTAGATCCACAAGTGTTTAAAGATACACCAGGTTGAGTTTTGAGTCTTTGAAAATGGATTTCACTAAATAGATAAAGCATTTACTTGGTGTTCACTTTGGTTATTTGAGAAACCAATGGGTCTTTTACTTACTGGTTGGCTTGAAGGGCACTAGACAGCAGGCTTAAGCTGTGAATACTTGAGTCAGGAAAGAGGCAGATGATGACTGATAAGAAAGCAAGCAAACAGTGTGCTAGCTGGCACGTACAATTGGAATGATGGGTTCTGTGGGTGGATAGTGGTGATGGATGGCTGAACAACAATGTGAATGTACTAAATGCCACTGAAGTATAGACTTTAAAATGGTAAAATTTATGTTGTGTATATTTTACCCTAATGAGAAAATAAAAATTTCAACTCCAGAAATCATTTATTCAAATGAAAGCTGGCAGGTATAATTTTAGCTTCCATGTTTTATGTTCCTTTGCTTAAATTTCACAAGGAACTGGGAAAGGAATTACATAAAAATTGGATCCTCCTGTTTCCCCTCTAATAACAGTCACCCTAGAATCTTTGAAGAGTCTGGGGCTGTAGAAAATCCACAGGCTTAGGGATAGGAAAACACTGGCATTGGGTCTCAGGCCCACTACTAGTATTAACTAAATGGATACATTGAAGACTTTTTTCTTCCCCCAATTTTTTCTTTCTAGGTGTCAGTGTTTTGTTTTGTTTTTATCTGGACAATGGTAATAATGGAAAGTGCTTAGCATAGTGACTGCCCTCAATTATTAGTAACAATTACTTCAAAAATGCCGTTCCTTCAAGAGGGCACTGCCGGTGGTTTCCCATCCCACAGTGATATGAGCATCAGGGATGTCAAAGCTTCATTGCGTTACCCACTTTCTAACGCTTCTAGGTGTCACATCGTAGGACTTGCTAGGATTGACTTATTGATAAAACCAAAGGGGGGATTAAAGAATAACGTACAGTGTTTCCAAAAACATATAACAACATATAATGCAGAGTTTTCAGCCGAGTCTGATTTCCTTTGAAATGCCTGCGGAATTGAGAATGTCCTTGGACAGGCCTGGTGGAGTAACATGTGTGGGTCTGCACTGCTTTCCCTGGAGCTCTGGCATGTGAAGGAGACGCCCCACGAGTGACAGATCTCACTGGGCCTCTTCTCTCTGCAGACCTTTGCCGGGAACACGAATGCAGACGGCGTGATGCACCACAGGCTGCTGCACCCCGTGAGAGCCCGGTTTGTGCGCTTTGTGCCCCTGGAGTGGAACCCGAGTGGGAAGATTGGCATGCGGGTTGAGGTCTACGGATGCTCCTATAGTAAGTACCCACGTGGACCGTCAGCACTGGTGTCTTTGGGAGGGCACTATCCACACAGTGCCAGTTTATCTACATGGAGAATGGCAATCTCAACCGTTTTACATATTCTATGGGCTTTAATAACCTATAAACATTTGAAAATGTGAAATTCAAGCCAGGGAAGAGAAAAAAACAAACAAACACTTCTTCTATTTAGAAATGAGGGAGCTTCGTTCAAGGTAACAGATGATGATAGCTTAACAACAAAAAACAAAACAAAACAAAAAAAACAAAAAAAGTTCAAAATTAGCGGCTTTTGAAGTTTGAGTTGCCATTTTTCCTTGCAATAAGATAATAATGTAAGCTCAGTTCTTTCCTAGCTGCGGGTGAGTATGAGATAGTTCTCCCCTTTCTCAGAGCCAGGAGGAGAGAAAGAAAACTTCTCCTGTTCACTGCTCTAGAAGAGAAGGAGAAGGAACATTTCCACCCAGGGCACCCTGGGTTCTCTGTCCTGGAATTATGCTGCCATTATTTCCTCTGGGAGTTGTTTGCACTGAACTTAAAATCAGAGCCTATCTTGTATATAGAGAAGATTGTACACGTGGGTAGGACAGATGACCACTCTAAAAGAAGGTCAAAATTATATGAGAAAGTTTTCCACCCCTATAATTCTCCTCCTTCGGGTTTCATATTTAAATCTAAAACGGTGTAAAAATAGATAGTTTTCCTGCCTTAGCAGTGACATATATGCTATGACTTCTAATAAATAAACACGTTTGATCACTATCACTTTAGTATAAATTAGTTCAATAGATTCCTGGTTTGGGTGACAAGAGAGCCTAATGGGTTGCATGTGTGTTCTCTTTCCCACTGTTTGAGCAGTAAGCACCTGCAGAATCATAGCAGAGCTTCTTAAAAATGCACTTTCTTAGCCCTGTCCTGTTCACACTGGACTACAACTTCTGGAGGTAGGGATTCAGAAAGCTGAGTGTTCACAAGCTCCCCAGAGATGCTATGGACATAGAGTGTTGCTGAAAATAAAGTCCTGCACAGAGGAAATTCACTTCTGAAATGACTGTCTTTATCTTGACCAAGCCCTTTCAGGAAGAATGTGTTTTACAACAGATGGGTTGACAAACCATTATGTCAAGGAGATGCTGCCGTCCACAGCAGCCTTCACAGCACAAAGCACAGGACATCTATACACCAGGCCACCCATCCCAGCATCCTGGGCATCCAGATTATCTCATTGCCTCTTTTCTCTGTTTTAAAAATCAATCAATTAATTTTATTTAATTGTATTTAGCATATGATATTATATTAGTTATATTAGTTTCAGGTGTACAATATAGTGATTTGAATATAGTGATTTGATGTTTTTACAACTTATATTGTGATTACCACACTAATTCTAGTATTCATCTGTTGCCAAGTACACCTAATACAATATTATTATCCTACATAATAAAAGCCTAATATGCTAAGTGTCTGATCATCCAATCGTCCATTCAACCAATCAAAGCGTAATATGCTAATGATATGCTAAGGCTGCTCAACCTCTTACTATGATGTGCACTTCCCACCAGGGGGCAGATGCTCCGACAGGTAGGTTAGCTTGCTGCTAGGGTCTGGCCTATCAGGACTAAGTGAGACAGGCTGGACATGCCCTGGACCCCTCCCACATCCCTCCCCAACCCCAATCATGCACCAGTGGGGTCCCTCAGCCCCGCCAGCACCCTCTCGCAACCCAGGACCCCTTGGGGGATGTAGGAGAGCCAGTTTTGGCCCAATCCCACTCAACGCAGGAGCTGCACCCTGGTGGTCTGTGTGCTCCCACAGGGAGAGCGCTGCTCAGCCAGAAGCTGTGCTCACAGCAGGCAAGCGCAGCACCAGTGGTGGGAGCCTCACCCACCTTCTCGGTAGTGCTAAGGATTTCCGACTGCTGGTTTAGGCCGCTGGTGTCAGCCGGACATCCCCTGAGGACTCACGGACTGCAAGAGGGTGCAGGCATGGCTGAGGGACCTCCTGCTCTGAGTGCATGAATTTCATGCACTGGGCCTCCAGTTGTTTATATTCCTCATCACCTTTTTCACCCAAAGCCCCATCCCTTTTGTCATGATCCCTTTGGTCCTTCTTTCTATGAGTCTAATTTTGTCTTGTTTTATTTGTTTATATTCCATATATGAGTGAAACCTTATGGAATTTGTATTTCTCTGTCTGACATATTTCACTTACCATAATACCCTCTAGGTCCATCCATGTTCTCATAAATTACTAGATTTTATTCTTTTTTTAATTGCTACATAATATTCCATTATAATTGTAAGGCCTGAAACCATAAAACTTCAAGAAGAACACATAGATAGTAAACTATTTGACATCAGTTGAGTAATATCTTTTTGGATATCTTCCCTTAAGCAAAGAAAACTAAAGCAAAAATAAACAAATGGGACTTCATCAAACTAAATCACTCTGTACAGCTAAGAAAACCATCAACAAAACAAAAAGACAACCTACTGAATGGGAGAATACATTTGCAAATTGTATATCAGATAAGGGTTTGATATCCAAAATATATAAGGAATGCATACAACTCAATAACAAAAGATAAATAAACAGCCCAGCTGGCATGGCTCGGTGGTTGGTTGAGTGTGGACCTATTAATCTAGAGGTCACTGTTCGATTCCCAGTCAGGGTACATGCCCTGGTTTGTGGGCTTGATCCCCAGTCGGGGGGGGGTGTACAGGAGGCAATCGATCAATGATTCTCTTTCATCATTGATGTTTCTATCTCTCTCTCCCTCTCCCTTCCACTCTGAAATCAATAAAAATACATTTTAAAAAGTTAAACAATTCAATAAAACTTGGGCAGAGGACATGAAGAGACATTGTTCCAAAGAAGAGAAACAGATGGACAATAGCCATATGAAAAGATATTCAACATCAATAATCATTAGGTTAATGAAAATCAAAACCACAATGAGATACCACCTCATACCTGTTAGAATGGCTATAATCACTAAATCTACAACCACAGCAAAAAATGTTGGCTAGGATGTGGAGATCAAGGAAACATTTATGTACTGTTGATGGGACTGCAAATTGGTGCAGATGCTATGGAAAACAGTAGGGAGATTCCTCAAAAATCTGAAAAGACTAATCTACTATAAAACCAGCAATTCTACTTCTGAGTATTTATCTAAAGAAAATTAAAACAGGAATCCAAGAAGACATGTGCACCCCTATGTTCTTTGCAGCATTATTTATAATAGCCAAGATATCCTAGGTGTCCATTGTAGGATGAATGATAAATGGATAAAGAAGTTGTGGTATGTATGTTGTTACATCTTCTCTTGATGACAGTTGTTACTACTAGAGGGTTAATTTTTAAGTATAACATGAACCTTTTATGCTGAACTACTTATCACTTCAACTATCTATTTTGGTTTAATAATCCCATTACGTGTTAACAGGTCCTCATATTTTTGTGTTCTCTCAGTCCAGTCAGTTGTCCTTGTTTTTTTATGGTGGTGTTGTTGCTGCAAGGAAGACCCATACCATCAAGTTAAATAAAAGACTGCAAGTTTGAAGAAGACCTTTGAGAAGCATGCCTAGCTACCCCTGGTGTGAATCTCTTTGTTAATATGATGGCAGCAAGGGACCCTCTCTTAAGTAAAGTGCCTACAGTGATAAGCAAATTGTTCTATAATATCTGGAGGTTCATAGATCTGCTAAAGCCTGATTCTTGACCAAGCTAAGTGCTTTCGTCTTTGAAGTAGCTCAATACTATGTGGACTCCTCTCCAGGCATGCTCCATGTCTAGTAAGTACATCTAAGGGAATAAACCAGCTCCAGGTAAATACCCTAGTGATGAGCAGTTAAGCACCTTCAAGGGCTGTTGGACACAGAATGTCCTCTGTGATGGTCCTCGAGCTGGTGCTCCATGGTCTTTGACCACTAGTCCTGTGCGTTGATGCTTTTTCCTTCAGAAAAAAAGAGAACGTCTCACAGTTTATCTCCCAAACCAACATCTCAGCGTGTCCTCTGAATCAGAAACTCCCCTTCAACCTCACCCATCCCCCTTTTTACTGGGTTATTCCTATAAACATACAATTTTGCTGTCTAAGCTATCAACCAAAACAAGGACAACAAAGCCCGTGACCCTGTTTATCAGCTTACTCTCCTCCTCCTCTCCCCTCTTCCTCCCAGAATAGCTTCTCTCCAAACCTTGTCTTTGTTAGGATTCCATCTGCTCACCTCCCTTCATACTGCAAGTGATTTCAGTGGGTCTTTAAACATGTGGTGGTCAGTTTAATGTGTCAATTTAACAAAGCAATAGTCCCCCGTTATTCAACCAAACACCAATCTAGGTGTTACCTAGGTGTGGTTAACATCTATAATCACAATCATTTGACCTTGAATAAAGTATATTAGGCTTCATATTTTGGGTAGGGCTGATTCAGTCACTGGGAAGGTTTTATGATCAGAGGGAGGTTTCCCGGAGGAAGAAGAAATTCCAGCTGTGGACTGCAGCTGCTGCTCCACCCGAGCCCAGCCTGCCCAGGACACAGCACTGATCCTGTTTCTTTTGACTGAGGCAAATGCACCATAGCAACTGCTTCAGTTGAGACTGCCAGTGACCTCCACACAGCCAACCCAATGGTCACCTCATTGTTCTCACTCTACTCAACCCTCAGTTGTATTCGGTTCAATGAGCTATTTCTTCTTTCTAAAAGCCTGCTTCCCCTTCTCTCTGACTTGTTACTTCTACTCAGTCACAAGCTGCCTGAGGACTTCCACTTTCCATCTACCACACCCCCAAACCTAGCTGAATTACAGTGTTTCCAACATTTACACACCCACCTCTGCAGCTCCTGGCCTGACTCTGAAATTATACATGCAGTATACTTCGTATGTCCACCTGAAAGTCCCATCTACAGTTAATGTAGCAGAAACAATTCTTGATTACCATTCTCTCAAGGTCCTGCTCATTCACATCCCCGCCCCCATCTCAGTAACGGG